TCTTTGAAATTGTTAACTTCATGTAATGGCTAAAATCTTTGAAATTGTTAACTTCATGTAATGGCTAAAATCGTTAAAATAGTTAGCTTCATGTAATGGCTAAAATCTTTGAAATTGTTAACTTCATGTAATGGCTAAAATCGTTAAAATAGTTAGATTCATGTAATGGCTAAAATTGGTCAAATAGTTAGCTTCATGTAATGGCTAAAATTGGTCAAATAGCTAAAAGTAATGGTGGTTAAAATAGATGGCTAAAGAGATAACATTGTTAGCTTACTATAATGGATAAATTGTTGAAATATTTAGCTACAAGTAATGGAGCAATGAGAAACGTCAAAATTTGTACCTTAATTTATTTTTGCAGTATTTGTGCTAATTAAACCATTTGTCTTTTTTTATGACTTCATGGATTACTCAGGTGGACAGCAGAGACTGGGCACTTAATGGCAACACAATCTCATTGGACGAGGATACAGTGATTGATGTTCCTCCGCCATTTGACCAGACAGAGAGATACTGTGCCTCTCTGGGTCACAAGGCAAACCACTCCTTCAACCCCAACTGCAAATATGACCCGTGAGTACAAACTGATAGGAGCAGAGGACAGAGAGGGGGAGATGGTCATACATTTAAAAAATAAGATTGAAAGTTCATTCTTGAACTTATAAACAGTAGTGGACAACCATCTCTACTCTTCAAGGTTCATGAAGTAGTGAAGGGGTATTCGTTTGCATCACACAATCTTCCTCAGCAGATGTTTGTGAGCACTTTAAGGACTTCTCATCTATGTTGGCGCAACCTAACTAAACTATAACCGGCTAAAATATATTCTATTTGCAGTTAAGTACACCAAATGAAACCTGCAATAACTAAAGTATGATGTAAATGGAACTTATCTCCTGATTCAGGTGAAAGAAAATAGACTAAAGGCATGTAAACAAACTGACCTTAACCAAGGGATGCACCAAGATGAATGCAAAAGGTTACATTTCATTTACCAGTCCAGTTGACTTATTTGTGGCAAACAAACACACAACAATAAAAGTAATGTTGGGTATAAAATGTCCTGGTATTAACAAAAGAAAAACAAAAGTAGTGAGAGGCCTTCTCTGATTAGTTCGTGCATCGAAATTATATTTTTCGGACATTGAAACCAGTCAGTCAGCTCTGTCATAACTCTTGACAGTGCATAAATGACAGACAACACTGCTTACCTTCTTAGAGCCGTCACTACAGGTTGCATTTCTTTAACCAGGCACTGCAAGCCCTTTAAATTTGTGATTTTGGGATATATAAATAAAACTGACTTGAACTAATTTGACAGTGTGTTTTCTTGAGATGCTTTTTAACAGTGAATCACAGTGAACACTTTGCTTTAGTTGTTCCAAGCAAACATAAAGCAGTATAACATAATTTAACTAGGCACAATTTTATTTAATTAAATTTGGTCAGTTTACTTCTAAAAGCAGTAAAATAAGACCAGCAGTAAGTAAATGGTACTTCTATTTCCTTATTGTTTTCTAATGTAATGTTCATTTGACTTCCCGGGGCAACTTCTTTCATCCAGTAAAGTGATATGTTAGCTGCTAGGTGGCTGCTAGTATTTAGTATATGTCTTATAAGAAAGATGATGGGGAAATCTTTAAGAATAAACAAACACTGTTGCTCTTGAAGAAAAGGGGTTGAAACTTCAAACATGTACATCTTAAATGAAGTTGAAAATACTTTACAAAATACATTTTGATGTCCTGTACTCACAGCCACAGTTGTAGTTCTTGGAAGTGCAGTTTGAAACGAGTTTCATGTAGTACTCAGTGAAATTAATATATTAATAGTATATTTTTCTAATATAGCTATATATCAGGTAGGGGTGGGGGAAAAATCAATGCAGCATAGTATTGCGATATTTTCCGTGGGAAGTATCGATCTTTTATTATATAAATTGTGCATGAGAATGACTTTTTTTTTTTTGGTACTATAATAATCCACTAGAAAAAGAGTTTTCCTTTGGGGAAACAATTTAAAGTTGGAAAAAAGTAACATTCCAATACATCGCTAATAAATGTATATATAATCGCAATAATGTTGTATCGTGGGGCCTCTGATGATTCACACCTCTAATATCAGGATATGGCAACTATATCTTGTAAGCTGTGTAAACGAGGAGCGTTACCCGTGTAGCCTCCATCAGACTCCAAATTGTCAATAGTCATGTAATAACCTATTTAATGAGTCAGTTCCAAAATACATATCATGCAACATTTATTGCGAATTGTCCACATAAATAATTGCAAATAAATTTGAATATTTCTATATCCACATTTGCATGATGCATCTAATTCAGTGATAATGATGACATTTTTAATATTTTCTTATTGAATTGGTGAATTTTTATTCATCCACCACATGATTACACACTCTGCGGTGACAAAGTGTTGAAGGAAAAACACGGAATTTGGGAACAACATTTTAAGTGATTTCATAGGGCCCTACCATTAGATTAGACGTTTTCTTCACCATTCAATACAATTCAAAAAAACATATGATGTCATGACTGACCTTCTCTCAGCACAACCAACTGTGACTGACTTTCAGCATCCCTGGTTTTTATAAGGGCACTTGCGACAATCACAGATTAAGAAATAGTTTAATAGTCGGGGCTAAATGAGGCACTGTTTTGTATGGAATGGTGCTTTGTAAAAACAGGTGTGGGCGGGGCACTTTACTTTGCAAGCCCTCTGGTGTTCAAATTGCCAGTCGGCCAAGTCCTGCTTGCCAACAATGTGGCAATCCATGCATGTGTTATGTTTTCAAGTGCCCATTGAGGTCATATTAACACAAAAGTTGCCTTTTATGACCCTGTGAAAATGTTGAACTAGAGATGCTAGAATTGGCAGGTGGATTGCAAATTTCACCCTCTACATAGGCACATATAATAACACTCACTGACCTCAAGCAATTATATTTCCTGAAAATCTTACTTTCAACATCTCAGCAGAAACTGGTGGGCCAATCATCCCAAAACTTAGTCAGGATCATCTAGACGTAACTGGTTTTAAGCTGTTAAAGAAATGTTTATTTTTATAATAGCAAGAAATGTCTTCACTGAAGGGCGCAAGCTACATCAGATGTTTCTGAAAATAGATTTATACCTGAACAGAGCATTAGCATACAGTGACGACTACTTCTGCTTCTCGTTAAGCATGCAAATTTCTTGTAAGAAATGCTGTTTCTTGTCTGAATGTCTGTCTTTTTTTTCTTTTTTTTTTGGTTTGTGCAGGTTTGTCCACCCTTGTTTTGGGCCTATCAAGTGTATCCGAACCCTGAGGCCTGTGCAGAAAAACGAAGAGCTAACAGTAGCTTATGGTTACGATCACGAGCCAACGGGGAAGAATGGCCCTGAGGCCCCTGATTGGTACAAGCAGGAGTGGGAGGAGTTCCAGCGGGGACAGGCGGCTCCCACTGGCCAGTGACAATACAGATGAATTTCCCTGGACAATAAACACCCCTCTACCTGTGCTACCACCTTACAAGAGTCATTACGGCACCCGATACCCCCTGCAGCTCCAAACCACACCATAGATATTCTAGATGTTACTGTGCTTCATATGGCATTCAAATGGAATTGTGCTTGAGCATTATGAATGGAGGCCTTGGAGATGGAAGGCCAAAGCAACACAAGAACTATGCAAGAAACCAAATGTTTAAATTAGAGAAGACATGTTTCTGGCTAGAGGGGCTGTTCTGTCTGATTTTACCCACTGTCCTTGTGATCACTTATTACTCACATGGAAATGAAGATTTACATGTTCATGGTTGGTGCTTATAAATTTGGGCTATGATGAAAAACTAAAAATTTTCTCAGTTTCTACTGTCTATAATTGTTTTACACAGGGGCTACAGTTTACTTGGCAGGGCTGCCTCTGAGGTGTTGAGTTTAACAGCATTTACCATATCCGTTTAAACTGGTTAGCTCACACTTCATTTGAACTAATTCAGCTGGACATAAATTCCATACCTTTTAAAAGAGGGCTTTGTCACTTAGCACACAGAATACAGTATATCTTATAGTGACTAATTGAAATTGGTAACGTACTGTATTTCCTGAGCTTCATGGAAGTGATTTGTAACTTAGGCACGGTCTACCGCTACAGGAAAGAATGACAGTGAGCTTGTTCCACTTTTCTAACTTAATTATCTGTGTTCATAAGCTACAAAATAAAAGTCCCATATAAACAAAATCAATTAACAATGCCTTGTGTATCTTCTGATGCAATTTGTGTGTATGTTTGCCATTGCTGCTATCTCAAACTACTAGTCATCTAAAGACAGTGAACTGTTTCTCGTTGCTATCAAAAAAAAATCCCCTGAATGAACGGGGGCTTTTTTAAAAGACAATAAAACTACATTTTAGTGTGTTTAGTATTTTTGAAGGCGAGTACCTGGATAAACGTACCTGTGCGACTACAAATACTGAGATTTTACATACTGCACACTGTGACTTGCAAGTATTTTGTGATGTGAGGATCACAATTAAGAGATAATGTCTGAGGAAGGACACGAAAAAGAATGCAATAACCTGCTGTTAATGTTAAATTAAGCTAATTTCTGCAATGCTGTTTGCTCTGACTGACCATAACATATATTATAATTTCGTATGTCTTTCATACACCTGGTGATGTAAAGGTGAGCTTGGCCTAATTTTGAGTGCAATTAATTTTCTTTTTAACATAACATTTAATTAGTCCCTTGAAGAAAAGTGCTAGTTTCACATTGGCAGACAGTATATCGGGATTAATTCATCTTTCAGGCAGGCCTGTATAATATTACCATTCTCTGGGTCAAAGGTAGAACAGTTACAGATTTTCGGGAATGATTTAACTTTGACTGATCCATAGATTTGGTTAAGGGAAACTTAACAATCAGCTGGTGTAGGGGGCGGGGCCTGAGAGTCTAAACTCTGGACTGTAGTGCACCCTTTGCTGCCTGCCTCAGTCAGCCTTGTTAATGGATAAACCACCACCTGCTGAGGTAACACTGAAACCAGCTGCAGCCCGGAAGGAGAGACAGACTTAAGTTCGACTTTCCGGAATGAAAACAACCCTATTCTAGTTTCACACAGGCTGCATGACCCGCACACACGTGTGGTCACCGGAACTCCCGTTTTTGACACAGAAACCCCACGAAGCGACACCGAGGGTCGAGCTGACATGAATGTTTTTCAACCACAAGCGAAACTTCCCCTCTGACCGCGGAGAGAGGCGGACATCCAGCAGGGGACTTCCAGCGGCTTAATACCTGGAGATGGACCGGTACAGGTACTTCATTTTCAACCAGAAGAGCGTGCTCGTCCTCGGCGTCCTGCAGGTGGCTTGTGCGGGTCTTTGTGTGGTGTGCGGGTTCATGGACGCTGTTTTCCGCAGGGATACCCCGCTGAGTACCACCAGGACACCGGTATGGGGAGCACTGGTGAGATATTGATCCTCTGTCGGGAACTGTTTTCAGTAATTAATGTTGATTAACACAGGATCGTTAAAGTAGTATCATCACGTCTGGACCGAGGACCACAGATAGTGTCCGTGTTGTTGTGAGAGGTGAATACAGCGTGACGTTAGACCTATAAAGTCCAGTTCAGCAGCAGGTTTCCTCCTCATGTGTATTGGACCATGACAAGTTTTACAAATTTCTGCTAGATCTTCATTTTGGCATTCATTCAGTACACACTTGAAAACTGGTTGCTACCTGGGAACGCTAAGTTTCCTGAACATGGAGCCTGGTGTAAATCTCAGGAAGAGATAAGGGGCCATATCGATGCTTAGTTGTCATTAAGGATTATTTTGCTCTGGCCTTTGTTCCTGCCTGCCGCTCGTGTGTCATTTCATTCTCACTTCCGTTTAGATCATGGCCTCTCCAGGTGTTCTGGCCCTGTTTGCCTCCCAAAGGAAAAACTCAGTGCTGGTACGTGTGATGGTTTCTTCACTCTCGTTATCTCTGTACGTGCACTTTTCTCAAGGCAAGGTCCTCTTTTTGGATTACTTTTTGAATAAAGTAAACAACACTAATCTTAGAGATAATGTATATTATTTTACACTGTATTTATTTATATTAATCCTTTTGTAGCGTTTTGATCTCTCACCTGTGATATTCTTATAGGAACCTAAGCATATATTCACAAAACACTAAACATGGCAGTGTTATGTCAGCAGTGGTGTGCACAGGACACACTTAAGGGGAGAGGTGTTTCCCCCCCTTAAATTTTTATTTCCCCTTACTTATGCCCAACAAGTCATCTCTGTGACAGATGGTAACCTAAGCCCTAACTCAACCATGGAGTCCAAGGCTATACAGAACATCTTGACTCTATTATCACTGATATTAGAGAGGAAAGAAACTGAGAATGAATTATTGGCTGATTAGTTGTTGTTTTTTCCTTGATACTGATTTTTTGGAATCATTTTTAATTTAATTTAATTTTTATAGAATTGGGAACAAAATACATACTATGACATGTTTCTGTTGAAAAACCTTGTCAGGGAGATGCTGTTTAGCATTCTTACTTTACAGCGTTTCAGTTTAGCTCTCGTGCCAGTGGGAGTTCTGGGAGTGATTGCTACGATGAACTAGTTACTACCAAAACTGCCAAGTGGAGCCTATCTAAATACACAAAATAAAAACTCTGGGTACAAATTAAATGGTGACAATGACTCAAGATAGTTTTTTAGGAGGTGTGATGTTTGCCACATGCATAATTAACATTGGCCTGGGTGTCCAGACACGTGTTCCAAATACATTTCTCAGCATTTTTCTTTGATATTTGCTCTCCACCATCTTGTTTACTACAACAGCAAGGACTCACATTGGGGAAGGCGTGGCTTAATTTGTAAAATAATCCTAAAATATAACAATTGGATTATATTTGTTGTATAGAACCAAATGTTAAATAATGAAATGAAGTTAGTCAGTTAGTGAGAGATCCACTCTCTCCCTTTCTCTCCTACACATACTTGCATATTGTATCATTTTCTTGTGCTGGACCTCTCTTCCTGTCCCTGCAGGTGAGTGTGATGGTGGTAGCAGCAGGACTCTCCTGCGTGGCTGCAGTGTTTGTATCATGTTACTCCTGTGTGACCCTCACCTACGGAGAGGAGGATGAAGAGGTCTTCCACCACCACGACAGTCCTCAAGTGGTAACCAACACACACACGTGTAGTTGCGCTACCACAAAATACTTCCTTTAGGTGACGCACGTTGTTAAAATTGGAGGTTAAAGGGAGTTGAGCCTAAATCAGAATCTAAATGAATTAAATTGATTTATTTTTGCACACAAATCCAAATTTCTCATCATTACATTACAATAACGTGGCACACAATTATCATCTATATCAGTGGTAGGCAATAGGCGGCCCGCGGGCCAGAACCGGCCCGTCAGCAATAATATCTGGCCCGCGGCCAGATTGGTGTGATAGCAGAAAAATAAATCGATTGATAGCAGCTGGTGCTGAAATAGATCTGTCATGAAAGCTACAGTAACTCACACAATCACTTCCTCTTAAGTGATTGTGCCTCCTAAATAAAAGTGCTAGAACGTTTTTGCAGCAATGCATTATGTCCAGTTTATTGAGAGCTTTTACTTTGAAGAGTTTTGAAGGACATTCACAAGAGTCTCTGGCTTGCTTGACGCACCTCTGAAAAAGCCGTCATTGAAGGTGTGACTGGATTCCACTGACTTTCCTCAGGGAAATGAAAATAAGCGTCCATTGGTTTTTGAATCCGGACCAAACGCCGGGACGCACACACCCTGCAGCACATGCGTTATTGTGAGAGTGTGCAAAAGTGTCCTTATAATCAATTTGTTTAACATGGGAGGGTGAAAAAAAATCTGCAGTTAGTTGTAATCAATCTTAGACCTTCCTAACTTTAGTCCCGCACAGTACCAACTGAGCTGTGTGTGTGTGTGTGTGTGTGTGTGTGCGCACATGAGTATATAAGGATTTGAAATAATTAGACTTTGTTTTGGCTCACCATGTAACGGCATGAAAAAAAATTGGCCCGATGCCAGACTTATTTGCCAACCCCTGATCTGTGTCTTTAGTGACTCTGGAAGAGCTTGAGTCTGAGAAAATAACCCGATGACCTCATCTGGGTTACCTCAGTTTGATTTGGAGACTACAAATGTATAACAGGAAGCCCTGCATTACAAACTGGGGGGTATGGTGGTTGAACTACATGCGTGTTTTTCAGGCAGCCAGGTTCTAATAAAAGACACTGTTGAACAGCATTATGGGGAATATGTTCGGCATTTGTGGAGGTTGATCTAGAAATCTCGGCCTCTCGTGTTTCTATGTCCACCAGTCTCTGATTCTTTTGAAATCTTGTCTCCTGCAAGTCCTCAAGCTTTATGAAAGTGCCCTGCTAAATGCTGGAGTAGCCCTTTAGAACTGCAAACTGTTTTGCAGGCTTAGACTAGCAACTAGAGTTAGTAGTTGGCCAATTTTTGCCCCACTAGCATTGAGGCCTGAGGATGTCCTGTTCAGTCAGACACCTTCTGGTCAATTGGTCTGAATATTCATGATATCCAGAGATTGATTCTCCTAATGATTTTTGTGACCCCTAATCTTTCATATAGTGCCTTTTGAGCAACACTTAAGAACTAATCTCACAGAGTAGTCTACATATACACAGAAGTACATGTATATACGTCAAGTGAGATTTGTTTTAAAAGGCCACGCTGTACTCTCTGGGAAGTACTACATCACAGCTAAGTTCACTTAACACAGGTTTTATACATTCCTTGTCTCTCTGCTCAGACGTTTGTGCTTCATCGGATGGTGAAAGGGGCCAACGCCACCATACTGCTGACCTGCACCATCAGCCTGGCTCTCTCCTCTCTCATCGCCTATTTGGGCTGCCGTAGTCTTCCCTGCTGTGGCTGCTATGATGCCAGGACTGGATTGGTAGGGAAGAACACACAGAGCAAAATCCTAAATTAAAGCTGTTTTTGAAACAATGGTACCTTGATTTTAAACAGAGGTAGACAGAAATAAGAAGCTGTTTCTATCAGTTTTATTGGTCTCAAATATCCGATGATGGCTACAAGCATGTTATCATGGTAGAAGACGGGGGCTAAAGCTGCTAAAGCACTGACTCTGACGTTGTGATCCGTGGAGAAGACATGGAAATAAGACTAGCTAAAATGTTCTTCTATTGCAGCATAAAGCCAATATTAAAAGTATGATTATTAAAATGTAAGCTCAGACTCAGTTTCTTTCTGACATAACCCCTGTTCAGATACTTTCATTGTTATGCTAGGACAGGTTAGAATTACTGTTTCAACAGCATCGTTCAGGACATGCTGTGGAATTCTGTAACATTGCTGTCAGATAAACTCTAAACTTTTTAATGTTTTGCTTCCACTTGACGGAGCGAATCTTGATTCTACACTATATTCTTCTTTTAAAAAAATACATTTTGTAGACCAGTGGTATCATGTTCTGTCTTTGTGTGTGTTGCAGGAGACACTGGTTCCTCAGTGTGACCATGGGGACACTGAGATGGTTTGTACTTGGCAAGGTAAGAACTAATGTTGAAACTTGCCCACAGTTGCAGCTGATGTCCCTACGTTTGAACGCGCTTCGCTCTCAGCAGCCCTGTGATGTAGTTCTCCTCTGTGTCCAGCAACTGGCGATGACAGGCTCTTCAACTCTCCAGCTCAGTCCACTGACCAGGGCACCACTGAGGAAGAGGGTCCCGCCAAACGGCCTCCGTACGTCAGACTGGCCTGACACATTAGAGACTGGTCCTACACATCCCTGTTTCCTCCACTCCAGAGAGGAGGGGGATCTCAAGACACAACCAATTTAAACAATGCCAAAGTTGTATGTGTGACATGTCAAGACTGAAATTCCCTATATGCTGTGTGAAAGTGACTTGTTTTATCTATAGATTCTATGATTTTATGTGTATTTGATAAATAAAACCTGCCTGATGTTTCAAGCTATTTCATCAAGTGATTTCCTAAAGAGACATGATACATTTTGAAATGTCCAGAGTAGTTTATTTATTGCAATGTTACACATGACAAAACTATTGCGAGTGTCTCCCTTTATCTCCTGACCCCAGTAATTTCATTCATTAGTAACTGTAATATTGTAATTGTCATTTATTTTCTTTCTTGGCATTTGCAGTAAGAGATACAGTAGCATTACATTTTTCATGGTTCTAGTGAAGAAAAGTAAGGCAAAGGAAATTATAGTAGGATTGTGTGAGAAGGATGGGCTGGGCATTTATCAAAAACAAACAAGGGAGGGAAAAAAAAAAAGCAGCAACCAAATCTAAATCACCCACGTGATGTCTTCCACTGTCACACTGCTGACAAGCCACAGAGCTGCAGCTTGTCTTTGGTTTTCCTCCGTGTGCATAGCCTCTGAACAGTGAGTCCTGAGAGAAGACATTATGTGCAGAGTAACAGATGATGATCAGCAGAGGAGCCACAGGACCAGCTGTAGCCACAACATCCAAAGACGCAAAGTTGCAGACCAACATGAAGTGGACACCAGCTGATGGTGCATCAATAGGAATCAACCAATGTCAGCTTTTATCGTACTACAGTGTTGGCGTGACATGCAGAATATTACAAGTTTACATACAAGATATGTAGTGGATTATAGCCATCCATGTACATGTAGAACTGCACACTAGAAAGCCGCACACACACACACACACGTGTTTCCACTGTTTGATTCACTGGCTGAACAACAGTTTCCCACTCTGGCTGATCTGCAGCCTTTCCTACGTTGAGAGAATGGGCCAATACAACTACAAACAACTCTCTCTAGATTCCATTTCCAAACTCCTTACAGGCTCTCTTTGCATCCTTTATCATCAAGTTAATGACCATTCCTGGTTACAGCCCCCCATCTCAGAGTGCAAGAATAAACAGGTCATACTGTGCAGCAGGCGTGTTTGGCAGATTGAAAGGGTTCAACAGGTGATAATAGCGGCCTGCATTTAAAACCTGTTATACTGATTTTTCGGCCCACTTGGGGGCAGTGGCAATAAGCTGTAAACAAAACTTTTGGTGCACGCAGCGCTGACTTAACATGAAGCATGCTGGACCTAACATAGAGCATGCTGGTTAAAAATTGTGTCAGACTTTCGCCGGCGCTGCAAGACGTCCCCATGTCACATGATATTAACACCTCACGGGAGCAAGGCGGCCGCAGTTGCTTATCTCTGGCTGCACAAAGTTGGCGCCACTTTTTGACTGATCTCACAGCAATTTTCTTTGCAAATGCTCCCTTTGACTATCAAGTCTGTGAAAGTCAGCCACAGTCATCTCCAACATACCTATGACTAGTTGGTTATTGCTACTAACTACTGTAGCTGGCGAGCTAACTGCTAACACACTAGCCAGCAGAGCTAGCAGTAGTCAGTCACAGCTCTCAAAGTGTCTGTCTATTGTCTCTCTACTGGGTTGTTTATTCTCTCCTCACGATTTATTCACCATTGTACACAATTTGTTCAATAAAGAGTTTTGAAATGGGTAAAAACAACTTGCTAAAATCAGCTAACGGTCAGTTAGCAAGCGAACAGTTTGTACTCCAACAAAGTTGTTAAACTGTTATTTACAGTATGTAGCAACATTGTCATTCATTTGGTGAAAGCTCAACTTAGCTCTGTATTTGGTGATAAAGTGAGTGAAATATCTGGCTCTTTAGATGCTAAATGCTGCACTACGCTCACCAGCTAGTCGCTAACTGTCTGTCTGTGCTGAGGCGGTAGGGTAGAGTGGATTTTAGAGCTTTTCCTTAAAAACAGCTGCCTGCTGTGGCCACAAACAACACTATGAGAGGGGTCAGTGAAGCAAAACAGTAAAAGCCGCCCCCAGACAGCAAAACAATGAGCTGAAACTCGCTTGTTGAGGGGAGCTCCAGGTGATAATTCTCATTAGGTTCATCACTATGAGTGACCACTTTAACACAGTCTTAAGAGGGCCATGACCTTCTCTTGAGAAAATGCTCGTAGTGGCCAAAGACGAGTGATTCTACTCACCAAAAGGGCTTTAAAAGAAGGCGAGTGCTCACACTGCCAGAGCCTCTGGCCTTTATTTCTTCTCTCGCCAATCCGTTGCTCAAATCTGTAACAACCCCAGGCCATCTCACAATAATAAGCTGGACCCACCCTGACTGGACCAATCTAATCAGATGGTTTAGGACACATCCCTGACTCAAGACTGCATTACCAACCACGCACAACAGGCAACTATCCCAGGGGCCCCAAATGCCCTTGATTGGCGTCTGTTTTTTCTGTTCAGTTTGTTTGGAAATGTGAAGTACTAAGGGACAATGTCCACTGACGTAAGTGCATTAAGCTGGCTCCTGCTCCAAAGTTTTAAGACCTTGGACACAGTGGAGTCCACTAGAAGCAGCCACTATGAGCGATGTTTTTATGAGCGAATCCTTGTATTGTTTACATCGAAATATTTTGATAGCATGGCAAAACTTACCAGAATAAAACTTCTGACTGTTGAAAGAAGTGGTAAATCATCATGTGTTCTGTTATTTTGTCTGCCCTGATAAATCCGCATGAAGAAATGAAATTCTGCTCTTCCATCAGGTCTGAGTAAAGCTTTGTCGTAAAGAAAGAAAATTACTATGAGATTTCTCTCCCCCAAATCTCTTATTTATTAATGCACTCTCCAATCTTCTTGTTTTCTGTTTCCACAGAACCCATGAAGATAAAGTTAATTAAAACTGGTTCAGGCCACTGAAGTTTTTTGAAGGAAGAAAACGATAGATTTCTGCATTTTAAAACAATAATCATACTGTAAATACTGCCCTCAAATTACTCTCCACTCTTTCCTCAGCTCCTTCTTCAAATCTCTTGAGTCCTGTGCAGCCTCAGCTGAAGTTATCTCCCTCAGCAGCTGCTGCAGCCCCAGCCCCTACCCCCATCTCCCCCATCATCCCTCCCCCTGCCCAGGTTGATGGTACCCCCTGATCCAACAGGAGGCTGGCTCAACACCAGAGGCTTCTGAGACTTCAGCTTGTGGGCCACCGTCATAAAAATGGCCTCAACATGGTCACTGTTTCCCCCACCGTAGTCTCCGTCTCCCTGGCTGTTTGGGTTCTTTGCTGACGTCTCAAACAGGGGCATGGAGTGGGTGTCCGCGAACTGTTGCGCCACGTCTGTGCCCACTTGGATGCAGTCTTGGAGGTCGCACTTGTTTCCAACTAGGATCCTGGGAACCTCGGTGCCCAGAGCGTGCTGCTTGCACTCCTCGATCCAGGCTGGGAGGCTGCGGAAGCTGGCAGCGTTGGTGACGTCGTAGACGAAGACAACAGCGTGCACGTTGCGGTAGTAGTGCTGCACCATGGACTTCCTGAAGCGCTCCTGACCTGCGGTGTCCCAGAGCTGGATCTGTGTGGAGACAGTGCGGAAATGGATCAAATCACATTAAAAAGACCCGACATCTAATGCATTCTAACAAGGACTGTGTGTGTGTTTATCCATCTGTGTTAAAAGCGAGCCACTGTTGCACTGAGTGACAAGCATAAACTGTAAAATAACATGGACGCGGCCACTGTGATGTCTCCCGTAGGTTTCTGAGGAGTGATCGTCAAGGTTGTTGGCTCTGGCCGTCGCCATCTCGACAGTGCCTGACTCGCCTAAGTACCGGCTAATCCAAAAATGGCCACTGAGATGAATCACGGATGGAGCTGAGGCCGACACACACTGATCACTCAAAGCAGCCATGCCTTTAATTATGCATACGTTAAAGTCTTAATCTAATTTAAACATGCGAGTTCCCCGTACCCCTACAGTTGTCAGGAATGACGGGGAAATTGACTATAGAGACTAAAAACTTTCAACCTGTTTATTTCTGCTGTGAAGTTTTAACAGCCGTCACTGTGTGATGCACAGCCGTGTCCTGGGTTACATGCAGCCCCTCACCAAACACTTGAAGATCTCCACAGCATATGAGCAGGAAAGAAATGCACGTGAAGTCACAGCCAAACAGAGACACGAGCGAGGGTTCAGTGTATGTTTTCAAAAAGCTGGACAAGAGAAAGCTGACAGAAGAAAGGGAGGGAGGGAGAGCTGGTAGAGTGGTACCGAGAAGCCCAACCTGACCCACAAACAGTGGAGCAGGAAATAGAAAGCTGCAGTTTCACTCAGAAGATGAGCCCCTGTGTACTTTGGAAGCACTTCTTTCACAACATAAAATGTACGTTGAAACTGTTTCTAACACTTCCAGCATGGCTCAGAGCCAGCTGCCCAACGACAGGACCGGTGATTATGCAAGGGACAACTGATAAGGAGAGTTCTCAGACGGTGGGACGCCTCTGGACACAGGCGGATCCAGCTAGCCTTCCAAAAGGAAATGCATGTTGTGAAGATTAGTCTACTAGCGTGGCCCTGACACATCTGCACTAACTGAGCAGAACTTGTGGATCTCTGATTTCATGTCATTTCACTGAGCCAAGAAGTGAAGACCCTGATGTATGCAGGAGATGAAGAGTAAATTGGGACACATTATGCAGCTTTAACTGAAGTATTTTTGCCCACAGGCCCCTCTGGATGCATTTAAAGCAGGTGTGTAGCTTGAGGTGTGTTTGCAGCCTTCATGAATGTTGCTCTTCCAGAAACGCAGTAAAGAAGCTCCATTAAAAGAAACCTCACTCATTCCTACATCCTGGCCAGAGGCACGAGTCGTGCCCCTTGTCTGAATCAGATGTTCCTGCATTTCAAACCTTGATTTTCTCGCCGTCGATCTCGACCAGCCTCTCCCTGAAGTCCACGCCGATCGTGGCCTCGGTCTTCTCGGGGAACTTGCCGGCGCAGAAGCGGTAGGTGAGGCAGGTCTTCCCGACACCCGAGTCCCCGATCACGATTATCTTGAAGATGCGGGTCCTCGGCGGCGGAAGACTCGAGCTCGTCAGAGAGCCGGAGAGTTCAACCGACGAGCCGCTCTCCGCCATGTCAGACCGACAGGCTGGTCCAGCAGCGGCTCCTGCACGAGCACTCAGTCCGTCCAGCTAACGATGTCCCCGCGGCTGTTTGACCAGGAAGCGCCGACAGAAGACTCTCACGCGCACAGCTGCCGCTCCGACTCAAAATTCAAAGACATGTGAAGAATACGTAACATTTATTCGGCGATCAGACACTGCCAAGACACACACGCTATCTTTATGTTTAACAAAGCAGCACACTCCCAGTCTTCAGCTGTGCACCCACGTACACTGTTGGTCAGGGCTGCGGCCTGCGGGGAGGCGGGGCTAGACATCCAGCCACGCCCACAATAGCATTTTAGGGTTATACGTCATGATTTCCCATTAGGAAAAATGCCTTCTTTGTTTTTTAATATCTTTGTTATATAATCAGAAGTCTGGCCGTTACAAAATAAAGTTGGTAACAAAGAACAAACAGCACAAAGCAATAATAAATTGGGGTGGTGATGGCGCATAGATAAGATGCGCCTTTGGTGTGGGAGATCTGGGTTCAATTCCCACTGTGAGACATCCACCATTGTGTCCCTGAGCAAAGTACTTGTTGCTCCAGAGGCGTGCGACCTCTGACATGTATAGCATGTATAGCTTTGGATAAAAGCGTCAAGTAAACAAAATGTAAATTAAGAAGAATGAAATAAATAAGGGTCTAATCAGAAATCAATATCTGTATGTTTTGTAAATATCCATGGCGTGTTTGGGTTTTATACATTTCAGTGTTTTCTTAAACATGTTCATCTCATTCATGAATCCGAGGACAGTGGTCGGTATTAGTAAAGCTACATATGTGGACAAATTGTTTAGCCATAAAATGACTTCTCTTTTTCTATCCTCCATTATAACTCCAAATTTATTATCGTTAATATCATAATTTGGGCGATTGATAGTCCTTTTCAGATACCCAATTCAAATGACTCTCAAAGGGATCTCCTATAACTGCATGAAAAGAACAAATGTTGTAAAGTTTCAATATCAGAATCACAATACAAACAATTGTTTTTAACTATTTTGAACATTTGTCTCAGAAACTCTTACAAGGAAAAATGTAATTAAAAGTGAGTTTCTTTGTGGAATAAAAGGAGAGTGAGGTATCTGGTTCTATTCTCTTTAGGATAATCTTTTAATTGATTTTTCCTTTTTAATGGTAAATGGAAGAGTTTGGAGGTAAGGGAACCCCTCACCATTATGTTGGTGCTTTTTTTCTCCTTAAAATCAAGTTTGTCTATGTAAACTGAAGGAATCTGTAGTACTAACACATCATAAAGCAACATGCTTTTCCCCATCACCACCTATACTTGTGGGATTGCCTCGTTAACCACTGAGTATTATTTTTGTTGTACACTTCACATTAAATTGATCAATGAATGAATTGTAATTGAAGATTCTCTCTTGAATCCATCAAATGGAAAATAGGCCAACCCCTCTCTCCCCTCAGTCACAGTCATGTACAGTAATTAGTCCATCCACCGTCAACCGCTTATCCTACGTACACGGTCACGGGGGGGCTGGAGCCAATCCCAGCTGACATCGGGTGCAAGGCGGGGTACACCCTGGACAGGTCACAGGGTGTCACAGTTCACTTGACTCAAAGCCACGTTTTCCTGCAGGTCAGTGAGTTCTGTCTGCAGAGATGCAGCGCTTGCCCATGAGAAGGTGCTCTTAGACTCTCTTGAAAGCTCCTCAACGTTCTTCACCAGAAATGGAGAGCCAATGCAGAGCAGCACTTGCCTACCTATTGAAGCTGTCCAAGTGATATCTGAAATTTTCAGCAAGCCTCTCCAGGAGGGAAACATGATTGTGATTACTGTTAGCCTGCTGTGGAAGAGTTGGAAAGTGGATGTCACTCTTGATGATCTCCAGCTGCCATTCAAAGGAGCTGGCTTTGGCATTCTTCTGCTCTGATCAATCTTCTACATCTCCAGGTCTTTTCTGACAGCCCAAAACATCTCCAGGACCCTTGCCTTACTCAGTCCGCTCACATTGTTATGGAGGAGTAAGTCATCATGCACTGAGCTGGTTAGATAGAGGGAGGAAAAAAGGTAAGACACTGTCTCTCTCCCTCTCTTTTCCACACATATTCTTAGCATTGTCACACTGCCGTCCAAAGATAAACCGCAGTAACTACACTAACCCTAAAACTGAGAAAAGGCAGCTGATGTTAAAGCAAAGGCAGAACATTGTAACAGCACTGCAGCCTGCCTGTGCATTTTGTTCAACTTTGTATTTAATACCAGACTATGTTGTAATCTCTCCAAAATAGAGCAAGATTGAAATGGGATTCTTTGTTACAACCTAAAACAGACATCGAGTTATTTTCATAACTCAATTTTTAACAGTGTCAGTTCTGCAGTTTCCCTGTGGATGGCAGAAAACATCTTATTTATCCCCACATTTCAATAAAAAAGCCTTGATTAACACTCCTGTCACCTCAGTCAGGAATGCTCGCAGAAGACGCTGCTGAAGGCAAAGGAGGCTCTCAGGTAGTTCACGAGCTTCATCATATTCTCCACGACATCTCAGTATTCTTTTCCGAGACTGGCACACAGCGCTGACTGGTGTATTATGCAGCGGTATGACAGCAGGTCTGGGTGGTGCTCTTTCAGATGCTGGACTGCTCCCTTCTCAGTCATGGCTGTAGTGCCGTCACTTGCAATGGACACAACAGTCTTGATGTCAATTCCCCTTTCATTTAGCACCTGCATGATGGCTTCCTGAATGTCCTCTCCTCTAGTGTGAACATGGAGTGGGGACAGGCTCAGTAATTCTGCACTCCCCTTTTAATAATTTGATCATTTTAATAATATTTTCTGAAATATTTGACAAAGACACATGGGCTTTGTCAGGATGTCAGCAATTACGCCTGTTCTCCTGGTTGAAGTGCAGTTGGATAATGGTATTTGCATGAGTTTCTCTGACATCTCATTTCCCTCAAACATAGCCTCACCTATCCCATCCAAACACTCCTTAACTACCTCTGTATCAGACAAGGGCTTTTTATTCTTACCCAGCACGCAGGCTGCTCGGAGAATCTTCAGTTGCTTTCTCTTGCGGTGCCTTAGATCTCACAAAAAATTTGTTGGTTGATTCACAGGAAAACTTCAACTGTTGACGTTTTGCTGTCCTTACCTCTTTGTTATGTGTCATACTGATGTTTAACATTGCCACTCTTTACAATACCGACTGTTTCTATGCAATTCCTATGGGCTTTGTGCTGGATTGGGGCGAAACGCATATGTGTCTGTCCACTCCTCTCCTCTGTCCACATTTTCACCTTCTTGGCTACTGAATATTGCAAAGACCCACACTACTCTATCCGCCGGTAGGCTAATTCTTGTCGCAATGAATTAACATCACATCTCTTGTGACTGGGCCAGCATGAAACAGAGTCAGACAGGCCCATACAGTAAGTCCATTTTTATTCTATTATTTTAGACTCAGATATATTGTTAAAACTACATTTACACCAGATATATCAATTTAATAAAACTGAAGTACGAAAAACAAACCATTATTATTTTTTGCATTGGCTGGAGCTGTCAGCACGGGAGCAGGGCAGTTTGGTGAAAGTACCAGTACTAAGATGTCAGGTGGCTTAGAAAGCATGTCAGGGCAATCTTTTCAAAATATTAAAAAAAGACATTTGTACACAAAATATTCTGCCCTGACAAGCAGCTTCTACCCAACCTGACATCTGGTACTGATATAGACAACAAGGGAGTAAAAGCAATGCAATGCTATGCCCTAAACATCAGGCGTGATATAAAGGGACTGATGTTGTAATTGGAAGCGATGAAAACACTATTCCAAACTGAATGTTACTGCAACGTACCCAACTTTGTGATAAACCGAAATACACAGTCAGGGGAAAACTGTGATAACACTGTTAATGTAATTTGTTTTAGTGCTGCAGTGTTTGAGGTCTGACTTAAGTCTGAAGTCACATTGCTGCAAAGGCCAGAAAATATTCCTTTAAAACTTTTGTAAAGGCATTTAAATGGAAATGGAGACGTACATTAAATTTATTTACTTGCCCTCCCTGACATTGCTAGCCTAATTTATATCTTCTGTCGCAGACTGAAACTATCTGATGAGAATGCACTTTGGCCCATAAAAACCGTTTCTCTATCTCTTGTAGTTTCTAAATGTGGCACTTTGAAAAATGGTACTTGCATGATTCTTACAATGTTTGTTTGTATCCACACGGCTGAATGCACCTATAAGGCGCTTTGTAAAAACAATAATAATAATATATATAAATAAATGTAATATAATGTAAGTGTGGCTACTTCATGATAGCAGCCGCCGGTAAGTTCATTCAGCATCCCTGACGTAACACACCTGAAACCCCAGCGTGCCTCTAGTTACATCATGACCTTCACATGCCCACTACGTGTGTCTGCCCTATTCTGTTCATGATCACAAAAAGGCTAAATGTAGCAGGAATGCGTTTAGTTTCTATTTGCAAACGTTTCATAACTTATTCACATCTCATTTATATAATTTAAATAGTAAAATACACATATTCATTTCCTAAACATTTCCATAATATTTTCTAATCCATTCAGGCAGTAAGTGAACACACTAATTTGGGGTCCTTCAGCGGTGCATGGTGCAACATGTGTTGGATAATTCCAGAACAAGCGTCGCAGTTTTTTACGCTGTTGCAGTCCAAAGACAAGTAGTTGTGCCGGAGCTCTAGCTTTGCCCTGGACACGCAGTCTGGACGTCTCTGAAGACACCCGCAGATATCTTAGCTATCCTTCGCTGTTCGACAGCTCGGAGCGTCAGTTTTGACATTAACCGCTAGATTTAGTTAGCCGACTTGTGAAAAATGTTGAGTGTCACCAGAAGCGTTTCAAGGACTCTCCCGACAATGAACTGTAACGTTACAAGAAATGTGTCCTCTTTGGTTAAGAAGGTGAGTTTCAAATATACTCCGCTAAGTAAATATACATACGCTAATGTTGAGCATAGTTACGATTTGACAAGCAGCCGGCTAGCTTAGCATGCTAACAGTGTTAGCTTGAGGCCAGCTTATTTAATCGTGACTGTCGAGACGTCATTTGTAGTTGGCTACCAAGAAGCGGCCTGTGCGATTTACCTGGCACACTTAACACGAATACTAAGCGGTGTCACGCTAAACAACGATGCCACTTTGTATTCTTTGGTGCTTCACGCTCAGTGCACGAGTTCGCATTTAAGTGTCAGTGTTTACCAGGTGTCTCGCTATCAGGCTGCATTTGACGTATAACGTTAGCTAAGTTTCCTGTCACGCATCTGGTTAAACGTTAAATGATGACTGTGTTGGTATCTTATTAGGAGATTTAGGTCAGTATGTGTGCTGTGAGATGTGTGCATGCTGTTTCCGAGGCGGATGAGTGGATCAGTGACCTTCAGTGAGGTGTCCCCGCCCTCCAGCATGCTGCAACATTTCTCACACGACTTTAATACGGATCGATCGTCCAGAGTATTAGTTTAGCTGCTTCTTCACATTAACGTATCTTATTTTGTCACACATGAGCTGATGAGCTTCTGTCAGTTTGTCAGATCTCACCATTTTACCACCTTCAGATTTAAAGATGTATGGCCTGCTTATGTTTGACAGTGTTTTTTTCTACACTTCATTGTCTCCTGAGTTACTCTGGGAAAGGTTTTTAAACAGAATTCTTTGTGACATTGATGGAAATTAAGAACAAAAACGGAGATGAATTATGAATCATAATGTATTTGGTTACTACTAATAGACAATATTTTTCTGTCTAACTGTTTTATGTATTCACAGGCATGCTGGAGTGGCTTCCAACCAGGCACTCTCAGAGCTCTGTCCAGGAGAGAATATGCGTGAGTATCAGCACAAAACCTAAAATGACTTCCTATCCTGAAGAAATGTGGTTGGAAAATACATGGTGGTAGAGTCAATATGGAGTGTATTTACCTTTAAAAAAAAAATACAGTGTGGCGAGGTCAAAACCACATTTGTGACTTTGAATAATAGTTTATTTCATAGGTACTCCGTTATTATTAGTGCCACAGAGGATTTAAGTAAACATTTTCTTATGAAGTAAATATCCCAAGAACTGTTAACTGTTAGAACACTGTAGTTAAACTTAAATGATAGATCTGTAATCGATGTGTATATGTGTTGTAGGTCAGAAGCTGTCAAGGGCGCAGTCATTGGCATTGACCTGGGAACCACCAACTCATGTGTGGCAGTCATGGAGGGGAAACAGGCCAAGGTGAGGATGAACACGCATTTCACCCGTCTGTCACAGATAGTACAGTACGTGGTCAGCTTTCAAAGCTCAGCTGATCAGCGTGGGCTTATTGTCCTCGACATGTTAAGGTGAGGGTTTCTAATTTGTGCGTTTTCCTTAACTGACAGTTGAACGCGTTAATAATCAATAAATCATAAGATCCAAAACACACGTCTGTTTCTCAACTTAAGTTTTAATTGAACAATTCCACTGGAACATTTTGTTATGTGAAACATTCATTCATGTAGCACAAACAGTTTAAACAGACACTTGACCAGTGAACCCCCCACAGCCTCGTTCAGGTTTGGCAGCAGGTTGTCTGCGGTGGTCTTAGTTAGCAGGGCCGCTGATGCCAAATGCCAGTCCATGTTTTCAGTTCAATTTTCTATATATCGCAGCCATTCATAACAGAAGTTAATTCATTGCACTCTTCATATAGAGTCTGTCTAGTTTGTACTCTGTCTGGTACTCTTCACACACGTTCACTAGTCATTGGCTGTCGGACAAAAAATTAAATTTGCATTATGTGATGTAACCTAAATCTTTGATTAATTGGGAGAACATTTTTTGAAATCTTTCCAGTTTTGAGCAAGCGTGCTGTGTTGGCAGCAGTGACACAGGGCTACATTGTAATCCCTGCGGGCAGTTGCGCCCCGTCAAAGTATGTCCACTAAAGTGCTTGTTTTGACACTGACGAGTCTGAAAACACTATGGAAAGGATCCCTACAGAGAGGGACCTTTTTTTTTTAAAATAAATTTTTTAAAGCACAAGTATCATGACAAATGCCATGATCCAGAGCGAACAACAACACAGCAAGTAATGTAATTAATGTTAGCTGAGTTGAGGGTTAGCAACTGCTGTCACAGTTGCTGCTGTGAAGCTAACGTGAAGCTAACGTGAAGCTAACGTGAAGCTAACGTGAAGCTAACGTGAAGCTAACGTGAAGCTAACGTGAAGCTAACGTGAAGCTAACGTGCAGAGAGGACGAGACAGCACCCAGAGTCAGCAGACCAGCTCCAGACAGTGATACAACTCTCCTGCTGCTATAGCTAACATCACAACAACAGCATGTCTTGGTGAACTAGAAAGTAAACTGAATGTCTGTCTGCAAGTCATTTAATGTTACTGACACAAATCACGACTGGAACAGCTGGAGTAGTGTAGGGCCGGGTGTGGACCCCTTGGTTCCAATTTACAGAGCCAGGGCTGGGTACAAACACAGAACAGACAGCTAGCAGACCGTGAGGACACATTCACTTGAATCGGTCACCCCACCTTTAAGTTTCAGTGAGGGGAAACTGACATAATTCCAAATAAGGCACACAATTTCCAAAAGCTGGTTCACCAAACTGTGAGCCTGTTGTGAGGATCACATTTGCGAGCTCTGACAGTTACCGCCGCTGACATTTAATGTCGACAAACAACAATTAGTGCCTTTTTTATGCTATGGGTTGATCCCATCCCAGAGGGGAAATTTGTTCTCTGCATTTAACCCTTCTTAATTAGGAGAAGCCAATGTGCAGCCCGGGGAGCAATTAGGCACCTTGGGCAATGATCTGTGCTGGAGACCGCCTGGTTCCGAAGTACTCACGGACTGAGCTAATATGCTGCCACATATTTTGTTTTGTTTATTTTTTCTCTCCTCACAGTTCAGGATAACCAGTCATTTTCTGCTTGAGCTGACATGTTGTCCCTACTTTAATTTGTGGCACCTAGAGTGCCCCTGCCCCTGTTGGTTTCTGTGTAGTTTGTTTTCCTTCATGCTGTGCCTGAATATCACTTTTCAGCCTAACTGAATTGCAACTCTCGACACATTTGCTTTTGAATGAGTCTCCTGCTGATTGAGAATATCAGTCCAAAGAAGTTCTGACAAAATCTTCAAACACATTCCTGTCTAGTGTTTCTAGTTTTCACTTTACTTACAGAAATAAGGATGTGTTTGTAAAGAGGTGATATTATTTATTCTTAGGACATAATTAGGGATGGATGCACTGACTTTTTCAGTCCTGATACTGATACTAGTACCTCAGCTGTGGGTATCAGCTGATGGTGAGGTCCAGTACTAGTGGAAAATGAATAAACTATATTCCTCACTGTGAGGAAGAGACTGGGAATCATTCTTTTATGGATATGCCAACACCATGTGTCACAAACATTACTTCCCAACTGTGTAAAATAAAATGCTATGTTAGCTCTCCTAGCAGTGACCAGGTCTACAGGCGCACCACTAATGCAATCCAATTATTTGAGTCCCTAACGGGCCGGTATCAGTATGGGATTGGTGCAGCCATGGAAATAAAATTAATCATGCTGTGCGAGATGTCATTATGCAGATAAAGGGCAGTGGTAGAACTGACAAGTTTTTAATAGAAAATAATTTTTATTTGCGCATCAGGTGTTGGAGAATGCTGAGGGAGCCAGAACGACTCCGTCAGTCATCGCCTTCACAGCAGAGGGGGAGCGTCTGGTGGGCATGCCCGCTAAACGCCAGGCTGTCACCAACCCCCAGAACACACTGTACGCCACCAAGAGACTGATTGGACGTCGCTTTGACGACCCAGAAGTCCAGAAAGACCTGTGAGTGCATCTTTGGCCTTGTGGTTTAAACCCGTTTGCATTATTACATGTACTCACTTAAAAAGCTAAGTATTCTTATTACTTCCTGGAACATGGTACATTGTACACTTTAAAGCAGTGGTTCTCAAATAGGAGTCCAGGGACCCCCAGAGGTCCTTGAGGGGGTCCTCAGCAAAAAATGGAAAAAATATTTTTGTAATGATTCCATCCCTAAGTAACAGAATGTATGACTACTTGGGTCATGGGTTACATACACTTTCTGAAATGCAACATCTAAAAGCTAAGATCCTATCAAATGTGAAAACCCTGAGACAAAATCTTATCAAATGGGGGTTCATGGTCTAATTTGTGTCAGTTAAGGGGACCTTGATGTGGAAAAATTTTTAGAACCACTGTTTTAAAGAACTTCTTCAGGATCAGTTTCGTGGGATAGTTTATTTTTTGCGTATTTTTCTACTGAGGTGATAAACCAAAAACAAAGATTTTAGACAAAAGACTGAACGTTGTTTTCATTAACAGGAAGAACGTCCCCTACAAGATTGTACGTGCATCCAACGGTGATGCTTGGGTGGAGGCTCATGGGAAAATGTATTCCCCCAGCCAGGCTGGAGCCTTCGTCCTGATGAAGATGAAGGAGACTGCAGGTATGACCAGAACTGCACTGGATAAACATTTACGTCATCCAGACAGGAGCATCAGTTTTTGAAGTGATTTGGTTTTTGTGTTGCAGAGAATTACCTGGGAACCAAAGTGAAGAACGCTGTGGTCACCGTACCAGCCTACTTCAATGACTCTCAGAGACAGGTACACACACACCCCATGCCACTCTCTGCAGTCTAATGGGCCTGTAGAATCAGTCTATTCTTATGAAATTCTTTACATGAGTACTAAAACAATCAGCCAAGGTGTCATGTTTCAGGACGTTAAACGTTATGGGAAGTAGCATTTAAACAAAAATTCATTATTCTTAACAGAATACATGAGCCAGTTTGCTCAGGCTCTGCCCCTCTGTTAGCTGGCAGACATCAAAAGGGGAAAGGTGGAAGCAATTAATACTGGTATGAAAGCTGTGACAGGAGCATTGAAAAGACAGTTGGATGGGATTTATTTTTAATTGAGGGTAAACCAAAACATCAACTAATTGCAACAAAAATGTCCTCCTTCCCTGTTTTATTCGACGTGGCTCTGTGTCATATCGGCTAATAATATTCAAAAAACCATTCTACCTGGCTCACTTTAATCAGCCTGTGCAGTTACAAACCAGCTGATTTTTCCTGCGTGTGTTTGCACTAAATCTTGGTATTCTTAGGGTGAAACTTTCTGTATCCCCTGAGCTGCATTAGCAAGTGTTAGAAAAAAGCAGCAGTCACCTCTGATCATGGCTGTTTGGTCGTTTCTGTAACTTTTCCTGTACTGTGGACAAAATATTGGATGGCCTTTCTGTGACTTCCAGGCTACCAAAGATGCCGGTCAGATCGCCGGTCTGAACGTGCTGCGTGTGATCAACGAGCCAACAGCCGCCGCTCTGGCCTACGGCCTGGACAAAACCCAAGATAAAATGTGAGTAAAGAAGGACCAGCACGACCACCGCTGCTCCTCACTGCTACAGTCTGTACACCAGTTTGTACTGAAACATGAAAACGGACCACATTTGGTGCATGCTTGATATTTTCCTCAGTTTTTGCTGTGCCTGCTTTAAACTCCCTCTGTGTTTGTCTGCAGTATTGCTGTGTATGACCTGGGTGGAGGTACGTTTGATATCTCCGTCCTGGAGATCCAGAAGGGGGTTTTTGAGGTGAAGTCCACCAACGGCGACACCTTCCTGGGAGGAGAGGACTTCGACCAGCACCTCCTCAAACACATCGTCAAGGAGTTCAAGAGAGAGGCAAATAGTTTCTGTCTTCTTTCTCTTTCTTTAGATGAGCCTCTCAGCTGGAGGTCGCTCTGCTTTTCAGGATCTCATGTGTGTTTTTCTTGTCTTTTCAGTCTGGTGTGGATCTGATGAAAGACAACATGGCTCTTCAGAGGGTCCGAGAGGCTGCTGAAAAGGCCAAGTGTGAGCTGTCTTCTTCGCTGCAGGTACACAGAACACCCTTATCCTCACAGTAGTCCTGGGCAGCACCACCATATAGCAGGGTATTTAGAAATCCTGACGGTATGACTTCCAACACCCGCAGACGCTCCTCTTTCTATTGAACTGATGCTGCATTGAGCTGATGTAGTGTATGCCCATAATGTAGAACCTGCCTGACATCATCTTCAGCATGACCCCTTCACTTTTCCAGCAGTTTAACAACTCGCACACCAGAGCTTCATCTGCAGCCTTTATTTACTGACTAACCCTGCACTTCACTAAACTTCACTGCTCACCTTTTCTTCTGCTCCGCTGCAGTCACCTGCTGCTCGCTCTCACTCAGCCACACACTCGCTACACTCATCAAAAGGTCCCCATCCAATAATTTTTTCCTAGATAATACTGTTGCACAGTGCACTCTAGAAGTAGGCTACATTAGATTCAAATTTCTCTCTCCTTATATTTATTTATTTATTTTTTTTACATATTGCACATTTTCTGTTCATCCAATGAACCTGATTACACTCCTGAAACATTATGTGTCTTTCAGTTATTTGATAGCTCAAAATGAAATTGCTGATCCAAACACAATTATTAATAAATCAAAACCATGGGAATATTCAGGGGTGCCTAAACTTTTCACAATGAGAGGCCTACAGCTGTATTTTTATAATCAACAGCAAACAAAATGTAACTTTGACACAGTGTCATCTGTGACAGTGTGACATGATGTTCTTGGCAGTTTGAAGTGGTGAAACCTCACGTGGTCACATGATGTTCATTCTTTCTTCCAGACTGATATCAACCTTCCCTACCTGACCATGGATGCATCTGGTCCCAAACATCTCAACATGAAACTGACCCGCTCTCAGTTTGAAGGCATCGTGGCCGACCTGATCCGCCGCACCGTGGCTCCCTGTCAGAAGGCCATGCAAGATGCCGAGGTGTCCAAGGGTGACATAGGAGAGGTGCTGCTGGTCGGAGGCATGTCCCGTATGCCCAAGGTACAGTAGACGACCCCTGAGCCTGCAGGTCCTAACAAAGAGTAGTTTAGTTTACATAATGAGAAATAGGACATTAAATAACACGCAGCTATAAAAATGTCAAGATTTATGTCCACTGTGGTCCTGGAGTCCACATAGAGAGGTGACATTATTCTGCCAACAAACCCTCAGAAGGGAAACACTGACAGGGTTTTCTGGCGGTGATTAACAGTATCGTAACGCATTCATTTTTAGTGAAAATCATGTTTATTTCCATTGAAGAGCGTCGCATCTCATTATGTGATGAGTGTGACATCTGCTGGCCAAATGTGGTATTACAAGGAATGTGGATTCAATTTGTGGAAGGTTTTAAAGCAACATGTTCAGCTTGAGCAGCCCAAGAACACACTGGTGTGTGACTGTGTAAATGATTAAAGAAACAAACCCACCAGCAGCCCCTCATCGGTTGTGTTTGTTATAGTTCAAGTGTAACACTCACTGTTTGTCTCTGCAGGTTCAGCAAACGGTTCAGGACCTGTTCGGCCGCGCTCCCAGCAAGTCTGTCAACCCCGATGAGGCCGTAGCCATAGGAGCAGCCATCCAGGGTGGCGTTTTAGCTGGCGATGTTACCGATGTGCTGCTGTTGGATGTGACACCACTGTCTCTGGGTATCGAGACCCTGGGTGGAGTCTTCACCAAACTCATCAACAGGAACACCACAATTCCCACAAAGAAGAGCCAGGTACTTAAACCAGCACGGCATGCTGAGAGAAATGATTTTGCCCAGAGTGACTGCTTCACAGTGAGCTACATGTCTCTCTGTAGTGACTCTGTTTTTAAGAAGTGTTGACAGGTGTAAAACATGTGTTACAGTGACTCTGTCTGCTCCCCTCCAGGTGTTCTCCACAGCAGCTGATGGACAGACTCAGGTAGAGATCAAGGTGTGTCAGGGGGAGAGAGAGATGGCAGCAGACAACAAGGTGCTGGGTCAGTTCACTCTGGTGGGAATCCCCCCCGCCCCCCGCGGTGTTCCTCAGATTGAGGTCACCTTCGACATCGACGCCAACGGCATCGTCCACGTCTCTGCCAAGGACAAGGGCACAGGCCGGGAACAGCAGAGTGAGTGACATTAACCAGTGTCACATGACTCAAACATCAAAAGTGAATGCTGATCAGACACGTTCAGTCTTCAGTAAGAATAAATAAATTCTGAACGCTTATGTTTAAGCATGCAGCTATAACCACCGAGGACTGGAGAGGTTCTGCTCCTTGTACAGCAGTCAGGAAGCCTGGCAGCAAAGTGTTGAACACTGAATATTTGGCTTTAGTTAAAAGGTTTATTAATGAAATTTGTTTTGAAGCAGCATTTTGGAGATTTTGCTCCACGTCTTCTGTGCCTTCTTTCACGTTGTAATGTTTTAATTAGCTGCTGCGTGTTCAGTGTCTAAACATCCTCTGCACTCTCCTCAGTTGTGATCCAGTCATCAGGAGGTCTCAGTAAAGACGACATCGAGAACATGGTCAAGAATGCTGAGAAGTACGCAGAGGAGGACAGGAGGAGGAAGGTAAAGAGCAGAACAGTATTGGACTAACCTTCACTGATGTGTTTGATCTGCGTGTGCTTCAGACCCGCGCTGTTCCCATCTAACCCTCGTTTTGTTTCCGCACAGGACCGCGTGGAGGCCGTCAACATGGCCGAGGGCATCGTCCATGACACAGAATCCAAGATGGAGGAGTTCAAGGACCAGCTTCCTGCTGATGAGGTGAAACACAAATCTTTAGGTTTAGTTTACTTAGATAAGGGTTGTGCTGTAAATTTGCTGATTTACTTGCACTTGCTTCATGGATGAGTTGAATTAGATGTTGAGAGAACATTTATCTAGCTGTCTGGAATGATGTGGTGTAGGAAGTAACCACAGCTCATCGTTGATGTTTCCTGTTCGTCTGCTCGCAGTGCACCAAGCTGAAGGAGGAGATCTCAAAGGTCAGGAATCTTCTGGCCAACAAAGACTCCGAAACAGGAGAGAACATCAAACAGGCGGCCACCACCCTGCAGCAGGCGTCGCTCAAACTCTTTGAAATGGCATACAAGAAGGTAATGTAGACCAAGGAGATGTTGTATGAAAACAATAGAACAAATAAGAGAAGTTTAACATGATGATGATGTAGGGAAACATGGAAATCAATTAAAATACAGAATAGTCACAAATACTGATCTTTTCTGGCACGTTGAACGTAGTTTGATGTGTAATCTTCAGTTAAAGATGAGGATGTCCGGTGGAAATGTTTTTGGTTTAGCATAGTAATCCTCACAATAAAACATTTAAAAGCATTTTTGAAAAATAACTAGTGATAAATTTTGAAATTAGTTGCTGAATAGTCTCAGTTGATTAACCAATTAATGGTTTCAGCTGTGTGTTATGTTTGACTGTAGACGTTTAATCAAATGTTCAGTAGACCGCTGTGGCCTGTACTACGAAGGGAGTTCAACCTACTCAGAGTTAACTCGGGGCTGAAAATCTCTGACCGCCTCCACTGGAATTAAACAGTACTACGACTGGATAAGATGTCGGTTAGTTGAGTCGTGTTAACTTACTTGGAGTCGGTGCGTGTTCACATAAAAGGGGCGTGTTCAACTGTGCAGGCAGTCATATTTTTTTGTCCTTTTTTTTTTTTCCTCAACGCTGCGCCTGCTATTTCCTCCAGAAGAATGCAAGTTGATTGTGTCAGGATAGATGAATGTAAAGACAAGGTGCAGTGCAATAAGACTGGTGTAATATGAGAACTTCGAGGGGTACCTGTTAAACGTCTAGCAGCAGAATTTTGAACAATTTGCAATTTCTTCAAAGCAGACTTATTCAGACAGGTAAAAACAACGTTGCAGTAGTCGAGTCTTGTCAATATGAAAGTGTGAATTATCATTTCCAGATCCTTCTTTGACAACATTTTGCAGATTTTAGATGTTCCTGAGGTGATAAAAGCAATTTCGAACGAGCTGTTCAGTTAACGGCTAAATCTAATATCGTGGCAGCCAACACAGCCAGGGAGGCTTGCATTGAATAAATTTGTAATAATTTTCGCGGTGTTCTTATTTTAGGCTAACTCATGTATTTGTTGGACTCTTCTTCTTTCTGTAATATGATTAAGATGTACGTACAACCACATTTTGAAAAATTGGAGCCAGGGGAGAGGGGGAAAGAATTTCCACCATTACTGTGGTAGATTTATGAGAAACTAATAATCACAAATCTACAGGTTAAAAACTTGAATATATTTTCTGGCATTGTATTCATGCATCTGAGAGAAACTCGCACACATGCATTATCTCACACACACACACACACACACACACACACACACACACACACGTCTGCCGTGTATTATGCATGCAGTGGAAAATTATATTAGACTTCACAATTGGATTTAGCAGTGAGGAACTACTTGAGTTTAGCCCACAGTCACTATATTATCATGCACCTTAGAGACTTTGCTGTGGATTGGGCGTATTCAGAAGGAAACACCACAGTGATTTGATGAAACCTAAATATATTTTATAAAGTGGTGTGGATTAATATCCTACTTCTCATCATCAACGCTGGGTACAGATGTGGTGTATAGTCCATGTGCAGGGTAACCTCAAGATAACCACGAACAAAACCTGCTCGGAGCAGTTTAGAAATGCAGCGTAAATTACCATGGTAACAGACCTCGGTTAACACCTATCCACCTTTCATAGTACGGGTTAATCAGGAAGTTGCTCCTGAAGTTACCTGGATAAGGCAGTTACCCCCCTTCATAGTACAGGCCGCTGCTGTGCACTGACTAAAAGACTCTGTTATACCAGCAGTTATTTGTACTGTATTCACTGGAAATGTACCCACTGAATACTACCTGTATTTTAGAACCACTACCAAATGACATAGTTCTTTCCAACAACAATCCTTAGGAAATTGCAGCCCTGTAAATAAAGCTTCACCATGTCGCTGTAACACTTCCTTCCTTCCTTCCTGCAGATGGCGGCAGAGCGGGACAGCAGCGGCAGCTCAGGCTCATCAGAAGGAGATAAGAAAGAAGGCCAGCAGTAGACCTTAGCACTTGGGTGGCACGGGGTTTCCATGACAACAGAGGACCGTCGGGCTCAGGGGGTGGACCGGGTGGGGAGTGGCAGTCTTGAGTGACGAGCTGAATCTTAGTCATTCTCACCATTACATATTATTCTACTGTGTTTTGACAGTACAATACTCTAGTGAACAGATCGATGTCCGTGTGCGCTCCTCCATGTCCTGTGATATCCTGTCTGTTTGTAATTTAATTGTCTCCAACAATGTCATGTACTTTATTTTTACCAAGCTGTTAATTTACATCCTGAGGTAGTAAAATGTCTCTTTGTTTGTCTAAGACATCAGGCGGGTTTCGTGTTGTTTGGCTCCATCCTCTGAAGCAGTTCAGCTTGTTTATGGCTCTGATCAGTTTTTGTTGTTTGTGCCAGTTGAACTGAGTAAAAAGCTTGTACACTGTTCAGGCTTTGGTACAGAGGACAGCCCTACTCCATTTACATATTATACAGTGCTCTACTTCAGCTATAGCTATCTTGTTTTAATGGTGCACTCAAAACAACTTGGAGGTGGGAGGTTACTGTACAGATATATTTAAGGATACAGACTTTTTATGTCAGAAACTTGCCACTCGGTTGTCCTGAATGCACTCTAAAGCCTTGTAAACTAATGCAGAACAGCAGTGAGGAGGTGATTTTTTTTTTTTCTTTAAATCAAATGTATTCTTTATCTGCAGCACTCTACAGGAATTATATTTGGTCCTGTGTCCTCTTGACTTTTAAACAGGCTTGTTTAAGGGACATAAGGCTTGGGTAACTTCTCGTACTGCCTTATGGCAGGAAGGACAGAATATAAGGTCAAACGTTAGTTCATTTGTCTCATCTTGATTTAAAATAATGGAAGGCTTTGATCTGTCTTAGTTCTTTGCATCCTCCTTTTGTAGCGTGCATCTTAAACAGAGCTGCGTTCTGACTCTGAAACACATGTCTGAAGGTTTTACTAACTGCAGCTAAGCTAGATATAAGTCAGGTGAATCTGGATGTTGAAATTGCACAATGGAGGATGAGGCCTTAGTTTACTTTTCATTTCAGAAAGACCACAGGGGGATGAGTTGGGATGCAACAAAACAGTACACGACGGTGGAAGTCCGTATGAGCCCAGCCATGTCATTCCCCTCCAGAAGGAAGTTTTGTTGCTGCCACACAGTCCTCTGTGGAATGTTAAAATAACTTGCTGTCTTTTCTAATAAAAATTTGAAATGTGACAGAGTGGTTTGAATCAGTCTGTACAGTATTTTAACATGTTTGTTGAACTAAAAAGGCACACTAATCTACTTCTTTAGTTTACAGGTCTAAACTTAAGGCCTTTGCCATCAGCCTCAGCTCTACTTTGTGTTTGTGGTTATTACTAAATGTTGGCATTTTCATTGCGTGCATGTTAGAATGCTGATGGGAGCACTGGTGTGCCTAACGTACAGCCTCACAGCACCTCAGCACAGCGTGGCTGGCTTGTTTTTATGCAATTCCACAAAACTAGTAAAATCTAAAAATACATAAGTGCTCACCACATATTTAACTGAGGAAAGGTGCAAGGCACTCTGTGTGGAATCTCAAATCATTTTCATATCAATGAAGCTAAATGATAATTGGGCCCTAAATTCCAGACCCAGTTTCCAAAGGAAATCTGAGCCAGGATGCAGAAACCTGCTCAGCGTGTGTAGGCATATTCTCAGAATTAAGAATGTGTGATGCTTGAATATAGAAACTAAGGGTCCCCCAAATATTTCAAAAGCTCCATTTAGGAGTGACCAGCAGAGGCATCGCCTACAGACTTCCTTATTTAGAAAATGTATGATGACCCCAGTACTCACGCTACCTATGTTTTAAAAAAATAAAATAAAATAGTTGCATGCCGTGATGGATTAACTATGAAGAATATCTGTGGCTGTAGAGCGGGTTGCCTGTTAATTGGAAGATTGGCGCTTCAATCCCCGGCTCCTCCAGGCTGCATGTTGAAGTGTCCTTGGGCAAGACGCTGAACCCTGATTGCCTCTGGTGTACGAATGTTAGTTTCTGTTTGAGCACTTAGGCTCTATGTATGTGTGTGAATGGTGAATGCGATGTGGTGTAAAAGTGCTTTGAATGGTTGCAAAGACTAGAAGGGCGCTATACAAATACGGAGCATTTACATATCAAGTAAAACATTTATGGTTCTACCTAATCTTAAACACTTTTAATCAATCATAAATTGAATTGTTCTTGTGTAAGCTGAGCTGTAAAATAATTGCTTTGAATACAATGAATAACAAAAAAAGAATCTAAATATTTACATGTTTAATGGAAATATTAAATGTTCTCTGTGATCCACATACAAACATTTTATAGGACCTGCGCACATGATTCGCCCATAAAATAGATACTATATCCTCATTTATTTTTAAACCACTTCTAAATAGCTTATATTGACATCGTCAACTGTAGAATAAATATCTTCTATTGTATTGATGTCATATGATGTTGGATACAACGAATGATGGGTAGTCTTAATCCTGACAAGGTGTGTATAACGCTGTGATAACTGATCTGCTCCTAGTCGCTTCATTGGGAGGGGACTCAGGGTAGACATAAATGTAGTTGTTATTGTACAACATTTAGGAGTCACTGCGTTCAACACTTCATTATTATGCAAGAACAGGTTGTTGTTTTTTGGGGGCTTGGAGCCAATACAATTTACTTTTACATGTAAATACAAATTGTAAATACAACTTCCTGAAAAAGGACGTGATGTCACACTTTGATGTGGGTGATAAATAAAGTGACCAGAGGGGCCACAGACTGGAAACGGTGAATGAGAGTGATGCTACAGAGAGAGAGGGTGAATATTGTATACCAGAAATGGAATGAGACCGTGTCTTTAGGATGGTAGGATGGATGGGAAGGGCCTCGTTGATTTTTCTCTGGTTGTCCGCTAACTCCTGGTCAGTGACCTTTGACCCTTCAAAGTCAGTGCTTTTTGCTTTTTGCACAGATGACTGACCTCTGGAAAAAGCTCTGAGAGACAATCAAAAGTGAAGTTACAACAAGAATGCAGTGCCAAGAGAAACAAAGTGAACCTTTTGGAATTACCTTCATTTTTGCATAATTCATCCATAAAATGTGGTTTGTACTTCATCAAAGTCACTATAATAGACAAATCCACTCTATGTAAACTAATAACACCCAAATAATTGTTTTCTGAATCGGCATATTAAATAATTTCAATATTAAAAATCCAAACCGTGCATCGGTGTGTCTGTGTTTTGCTCAGAACAAGGCACTGCTAACCACCAACTACAATTTCACCTCACTGATGGGAAAATCTGACATGTCACTTTCTTAGGGGTAGTTTGTGAACGGGTTCACTTACTATTTCTTGGTGCTGTATTTTATCAAAGATTTTTTTCCTAAGGTCAAAAGTGCACGAATCATTCTGTTTTTACCATCCACTCAGTCCAAAAACATTAACATGCTACAAGACACTTGCCACAGTATGCTACATATTGAAATGTCCCACAAGGATGTCACATTGTCCGTGGCTGCATGTGCTGCAGTCTGTCAGTCAGAACACTCACTGGAATACTAAAGGCAGCAGTATACAGCAGACTGTGCTCTGTACTAGTAATACAGATTACTGATGGGTTTAAAGAACATGGAAATGAGAAAGAAAGCACAGAGGTTTAGTAGCACACATTAATTAACAATAAGCTGAATTCCTCATTAAAGAGCTTTTGCTTTGTAAACTCACTGATTACCTGCTGCAAAATCTTATTTCTCTAGCTGTAATTTACCTCACAACGTAGCATATGCTCCATCTTTAAATGGCAAAAATTCAAACGTATGTTCTCTTGAGTGACAAGACAGTTTAAAAGCATTGCAGTATGAAATGCGACTGTCTAGCCGCTGGCATGACGTGTCGACTTTTACTGCAGTCAGTCAGTCACAGAGAGGCAGTCAGGGAGATGGATTCTGAGGACAGACAAGACGAGAACTTATCTTCACCTCAGATCCCCTCCACACGACCCGCTGAACACGGTTGTCAGAGCCACAGGATGCAAACTGTACACAAATAACTGTGGGAGGGACGGCTCCTGCCAGCACACGGGCTTCTGAGGTGCCATCACAAAGCCAGTGGGCGATCCTCCACTTTGACAGGAGCTCACCAAATGCCCATTTTAACTCAGTAATTGAAAATGCAATAATCCAATTTGTATTTTTATATCACATACTAAAATAAAACATAAACAATGCAACTTGATTTTTCATTTCAGTTTGAAATGAAAATGGCATTTGAGCTGCTCTACAGTGGAAAATATTCAAATGCAATAAGCGACAATAACAACAGCGCCTTATTCAGTGAACTAGGAGGCTTGTGTCTATTTATGTATGTGTAATTGCTTTTTATATGTTTGAAACGTGTCCTTCATGTTCTTTTTGCTGTGTCTTGGCCAGGTCTCTTGCAAATGGAATTTTAATCTCAGTGAAACTGACCTGCTTAAATAAAGGTTAAATAAAAGATAAAAAATATAATGCATTGTGTTGGGCAAGCTACTTGGAAAATGTAGTGAGCTAAGCTACTAGTTAGTCTACATTAGTCACTAGTCTATATTAAATGAAGCTTCACTACACAGAAGCTACCCCCCAGTGAAATGTAGCAAGCTAAGCTACAGCAATGTGGCACAAGTAGTTTAATACATCTAAGCCGCTTTGAATATTTTTTATATTTTAACCAACTTCCTTTCACAGAAGCAAAAGAAGAAAGAATAAAAACCTGCTCCAAACAGTGTGTGCGCGCGAGAGAGCTAAAGCAGACACACAGGAACTCTCCTACTTAGTGCCATATCATTGCAGCAAAATGTATTTCCTCATGCAACAAACTGAGAACCATTAATTGGATAAAGTGACTGTAATATTATCATATTTGTTAATTGAATAATTGTTCCTTTGAAAAATTCTACTGCTTGTAAAACAATATTTTCAATCTAATATGTGGTTTGAGTTAGTTTTCTTTCTTTAGTTTTTATCATGTCATTTTATTGTTTGTTAATTATATAATTTTTTATTGTTTATATGTGATTTTTGCTCTGGCAACATCGCAGACATCAGCCCAAGGATCGGTACGTGATGTCACTCAGTCATTCAGAAGAACTTCTGCCGGCTACACATACAGGTCTGTGTGTGGCGGTGGCGACACTTACTGATCCTTAGTAGTTGTATTTCAGACTTGAGCTTCAGAAAGGCTTGGGAAAATGTAGCGTGTGGAGACGCTACCGCACTACTCGGTCAATAAAAAAGCTTTGCTACTGAAAACAGCGACGCTACCACCAAGCTACTGAGAAATGTAGTGAAACTAGTAGCGTTGCGACTGCCCAACACTGCATTTACGTGCTCTTTTAGTGCTTTATCATACGGACCCTCATTTGTTGGGAAGAATTAGCTAGTTTTTTTAACCAACAAAGTTAAAAACATTTCTTTTTAAATGCTTCACAGGTTTTACCCCACTATTACCTACAAAAACTGAAAAAAAGACATTGATGTCAGCTGTACTTTTTGTGGAGAATTAAACGTGGTCTTGCCCACATACTGAGAAACTTTGCAGCGGCTGTCCATATTTACCCTTAATTTGCATTATGGTGGGAAAATGTCTTGATGAATTCACTGAAAATTACTAAATTTTATGTTCAGATTATAATGCCATAAATGTACTCATTATAAATGCAACGTAAGATCCATAACTATGTTTTCAGTGGTTTATAGAGGTCTTACTTAATGAACCGTTGTGTTTTTATTACCTTAGAATGAGACATTTCTATCTACGTATACACCACAGGTCCCGGTAGAATTCTGGCAGTGTAGACACTCATCCCTATGTTGTATACGTCCGTTCAAAGAAGAAGAAGAAGTAATAATATATGTCAGCAAATAAGTTTTGCATCAGAGCAATTTTTTGCACCCATTAGAGGTTAGGTGAGAATATAAGACATACTATTTAAATGGCATGTTATGCTGTTTGGTCAGCTCAGTTGGTAAAGTGCAGTAGATTGCGTGTTTGATCCCATGTCAGGAGAAATTTATTTCTCTCCTCAACAAATTGATCATGAAGCGACTTTTTCACATGCTCACAATAAAGCATGTGCTGCAGTGTTTATGCTCCCGTGTTTGATCCGCATCCATCAACCTATGGACACTTTTTGATTTCTCGTATCTGTAACTGTTGCTGTCATGACTG